GGATGCTCCAAAGGTTCTCAATAGGATTGAGGTCAGGGGAGGATGGAGGCCACACCATGACTTTCTCTCCTTTTATTCCCATAGCAGCCATTGATGCAGAGGTATTCTTTGCAACATGAGATGGTGCATTGTCATGCACGAAGATGATTTTATTATGGAAAGCATAGTTCTTCCTTCTGTACCAGGGAAGAAAGTGGTCAGTCATAAACTCCACATACTTTGCAGAGGTCATCTTTACACCTTCGGGGACCCTAAAGGGGCTGACCAGCTCTGTTCCCATATTCCGGCCCAAAACATGACTCCACCGCCACCTTGCTGATGTCTCAGCCTTGTTGGAACAAGGTGGCCGTCCACCAACCATCCACTACTCACTCCATCTGGACCATCCAGGGTTGCACGGCACTCATCAGTGAACAGGACTGTTTGAAAATTAGTCTTCATGTATTTTTCTGCCCAATGCAGCAGTTTCTGCTTGTGAGCATTGGTTAGTGGTGGCCGAATAAAAGGTTTATGCACAGTTGCAAGACTCTGGAGGACTTTACACCTTGATGTCCATGGGACTCCAGAGGCACCAGCAGCTTCAAATATTTGTTTGCTGCTATGTAATGGTATTTTAGCAGCTGCTCTCTTGATCCAATGCATGGAACTGGCAGAAATCTTCCTCAATGTGCCTTTATCTGCACCAACCCGTCTTTGCTCTGAATCAGCCACAAATCTCTTAATAGTGTGATGATCATGCTTACGTTTTCATGAAATATCTAATGTTTTCATACCTCGTCCAAGGCATTGAACTATTTCACTCTTTTCGGCAGCAGAGAAATCCTTTTTCTTCCCCATATTGATTGAAAATGGTGCTCTGCTTAATAATGTGGAACACCGTCCTTTAGTAGTTTTTCCTTAAATTGGGCTCACCGGCCAATCTAATTATCACAGGTGTCCGAGATTGTTTTCAGTGATCAAAAGAGCCCTGACACACAATGCCATCCATGAGTTACACTGAAAAACAAAATATTTCATCTTTGTGACACTTAAATAGAATTTGCATAATAATTTGGAACAGGGTGTATATGAGATAGACTCATTACATGCAAAGCAAGATAGTGCAAGACGTGATTTGTCATAATTGTGATGATTATGGCTTACAGCTCTTGAAAACCCCAAATCCACAATCTCAGAAAATTAGAATATTACATGCAATCAATAAAACAAGGATTGTACAAAGAACAATATCGGACCTCTGAAAAGTATAAGCATGCATATGTACTCAGTACTTGGTTTGGGTCCCTTTTGCAGCAATTACTGCCTCAATGCGGCATGGCATGGAAGCTATCAGCCTGTGGCACTGCTGAGGTGTTATGGAAGACCAGGATGCTTCAATAGCGGCCTTCAGCTCTTCTGCATTGTTCGGTCTCATGTCTCTCATCTTTCTTTTGGCAATGCCCCATAGATTCCCTATGGGGTTCAGGTCAGGCGAGTTTGCTGGCCAATCAAGCACAGTAATCCCACGGTCATTGAACAAGGTTTTGGTGCTTTTGCAGTGTGGGCAGGTGCCAAGTCCTGCTGGAAAATGAAGTCAGCATCCCCATAAAGCTCATCTGCGGAAGGAAGCATGAAGTGCTCCAAAATCTCCTGGTAGACGGCTGCGTTAACCCTGGACTTAATGAAGCACAGTGGGCCAACACCAGCAGATGATATGGCTCCCCAAATCAACATAGACTGTGGAAACTTCACACTGGACTTCAAGCATCTTGCAGTGTGTGCCTCTCCATTCTTCCTCCATACTCTGGGTCCTTGGATTCCAAATGAGATGCAAAAGTTGCTCTCATCAGAAAAGAGGACTTTGGACCACTGAGCAACAGACCAGGTCTGTTTTTCTTTAGCCCAGGTAAGACGCTTCTGACGTTGTTTGTTGTTCAGGAGTGGCTTGACAAGAGGAATACGACATTTGAAGCCCATGTCCAGGATCCGTCTGTGTGTGGTGGCTCTTGATGCACTGACTCCAGCCTCAGTCCACTCCTTGTGAAAGTCCCCAACACTTTTGAATGTCCTTTTCCTGACAATCCTCTCCAGGCTGCGGTCATCTCTGCTGCTTGTGCACCTTTTTCTTCCACACTTTTCCCTTCCACATAACTTTCTATTAATGTGCTTTGATACAGCACTTTGGGAACATCCAACTTCTTTTGCAATTACCTTTTGAGGCTTTCCCTCCTTATGGAGGGTGTCAATGATGGTTTTCTGCACAACTGTCAGGTCAGGAGTCTTTCCCATGATTGTGATTCCTACTGAACCAGACAGAGAGCCTAGAATATTGCACCTTTTCATAATATTCTAGTTTTCTGAGATTGTGGATTTAGGGTTTTCATGAGCTGTAAGCCATAATCATCACAATTATGACAAATCACGGCTTGAACTATCTTGCTTTGCATGTAATGAGTCTATCTCATATATTAGTTTCACCTTTTAAGTTGCATTACTGAAATAAAATGAACTTTTGCACGGTATTCTAATTTTTTGAGTTTCACCTGTACATACAAAGAAACCAAAACAAATCAGTTCAGAAAATAAGTTATGTGTAATAAAATGGAAAGACACAGGGAAAAGGTATTGAACACACTAACTGAAATTTATTTAATACTTCGTACAAAATCCTTTGTTGGTAATGACAGCTTCAAGGCATCTCCTGTATGGAGAAGCTAGTCACATGCATTGCTCAGGTTTGATTTTGGCTCATTCTTCCACACAAACTGTCTTCAAATGTTGAAGGTTCTGTGGGCCTCTTCTATGGACTCTGCTCTTTAGTTAGATTTTCTATTGGATTCAAGCCAGGGGATTAGCTGGCCCATTCTAGCAGCTTTATTTTCGTTCTTTGAAACCAATTGAGAGTTTTCTTGGCTTTGTGTTTGTGATCATTGTCTTGCTGAAATGTCCACCCTCATTTCATCTTCATTATCCTGGTAGATGGCAGCAGATTTTTATCAAGAATATTTGGGTATATTTTTACATTCATCCTTCGTTCAACGATATGACGTTTGCCAGTACTGTATGCTGAAAAACAGCCCCCCTGCTTCACTGTTGGTATGGGGTTTTTGGGGTGATGTGCAGTGACATTTGACCTCCAAACATGGTGTGTATTATGATATCCAAAGAGTTCAATTTAGGTCTCATCTGACCAGGCTATATTCTCCCTGTATTTCACAGGCTTGTCTAAATGTTGTGCAGCAAACTTTAAATGAGCTCCAACATGCTTTTTCTTCAGCAATGAAGTCTTGCATGGTGAGCGTGCATACAGGCCACAGCGGTTGAGTGCATTACTGATTGTTTTCTTTGAAACAATTGTACCTGCTAATTCCAGGTCTTTCTCAAGCTCTCCACAAGTGGTCCTTGGCTCTTGGACAACTTCTGATAATTCCCCATCCTCTGTCGAAATCTTTCGAGGAGCACCTTGTTTCCCCCCCCCCCCCCCCCCCCCCCCCCCCCCCCCCCCCCCCCCCCCCTCTCCCCCCCCCCCCTCCCCCCCTTTCACTCCTCTGTCAGAAATCTTGTGAGGAGCACCTGGTTGTGGCCTGATTATGGTGAAATGATGTTCTTTTCACTTTCAGATTATGGCCCCAACAGTGCTCACTGGAACATTCAGAAGTTTAGAAATCCTTCTGAAGCCCATGCTATCAGTATGTTTTGCACCAATAAGGTTGCAAAGGTCTTGCGAGAGCTCTTTGCTTTTACTCATCAATAGATGTTTCTTGTGTGGCCGAACCAGCTGATATTAATTTGCACTGACAAGGGTCAGGATTGCTTTCTAATTACTGAAACATTTCAGCTGGTGTCTTGGCTTTACATGCCTTATTGCACCTCCCTTTCTTCATGTGTTCAATACTTTTTTCCCTGTGTTATTCCATTTTATTACACATAACTTAATACCTGAACTTATTTGTTTTTGTTTCTTTGTATGTATAGAATGCATAGGTTGAAAATTTCATGTGAATAGAACCTTTAGAAATGGATTTACTGAGGAAAAAATGGTGCTGTGTGTGTGTGTGTATATATATATATATATATATATATCACCATATTGCCAAAAGTATTGGGAAACCCCTCCAAATCATTGGATTCAGGTGTTCCAATCAACTCTATGGTCACAGGTATATAAAATCAAGCATCTAGACATGCAGACTGACCTCTAACATCAACAAGGCATTTTCCTCCACACTTCTTTTTTTTTCGACCATTCTCTGGTTGTGTGTGAAAATCCCAGTAGATCAGCAGTTTTTGAAATACTCAGACCAGCCTGTCTGGCACCAGCAACCATGCCCTGTTCAAAGTCACTTAAATCCCCTTTCCTCCCCATTCTGATGCTTGGTTTGAACTTCAGCAAGTCATCTTCACGCATCTAGATGCCTAAATGCATTGAGTTGCTGCAATGATTGGCTGATTAGCAATTTGTGTTACCAAGCAATTGAATAGGTGTACCTAATAAAGTGGCTTGTGAGTGTATGTGTGCATATGTATGTATGTATATGTGTGTGTGTGTATGTATATATATATATATATATATATATATATTTAGCTTTGCATAGACTGAGGTAGGCTTAGAAACTCTTTCAGCTTTTTGTTGATGCATGTCTCCCTTCATTATCTGTGTGGATATCAGGACAAGTTAGAGCATATCCCTCTGAATGGGAAATGGACAGCAATAAAATCCTGACGGAGGCTCCTACCCCTGCTTTCCCAATCGGAGTTCCATGGATCCCTAGGTAATAGGATATTTTGAGCAATTTCTTCCTTGGAAACAAATAACCATTCTTTCCAATGACCCCCCCCCCCCCTCCCCCCACGGACTCTCTATTTCAAGGACCATCCTTCCCACTGCCAATGTAAGAAATATACAGTGTTTCCCATTGACCCCCCAATGTAAGGTGCGTTCTTTCGACTGATCACCAATGTAAGAAACATTCTTCTCAATGATAACCAATGTAAGGAGCATTCTTCCCACTGACTTCCAATGTAAGGGGCATTCTTCCTACTGACCACCAGAGTAATGGGCCCACTCTTCCACTGACCACCAATGTAATGGGTGTTCTTCCCACTGACCACCAATGTAAGGGGCATTCTTCCCACTGACCTCCAATGTAAGGAGCATTCTTCCGACTGACCTCCAATGTAAGGATCAGTCTTCCAACTGACCACCAGAGTAATGGGCCCACTCTTCCACTGACCTCCAATGTAAGGGGCATTCTTCCAACTGACCACCAGAGTAATGGGTCCACTCTTCCACTGACAACCAATATGAGGGGTGTTCTTCCCACTGACCACCAATGTAAGGGGTTTCTTCCCACTGACAAGCAATGTAAGGGGCATTCTTCCCACTGACCTCCAATGTAAGGAGCATTCTTCCACTGACCCCAATGTAAGGGACATTCTTCCCAATGACCTCCAATGTAAGGAGCATTCTTCCCACTGATCCCCAATGTAAGGAGCATTCTTCCCACTGACCAGCAATGTAAGGGGCATTCTTCCCACTGACCTCCAATGTAAGGGGCATTCTTCCCACTGACCTCCAATGTAAGGAACATTCTTCCAACTGACCACCAGAGTAATGGGCCACTCTTTCACTGACCACCAATGTAAGCAACATTCTTCCCACTGACCACCAATGTAAGGGGCGTTCTTCCTACTGACCACCAGAGTAATGGGCTCACTCTTCCACTGACCACCACTGTAAAAACATACAACTGAGCCATGTTTTTACCACCCCTAGACTGCTCTCAGGCAGTGGACTAGGGTGAACACATGCCATGGCAAAAATGATCCCCATCACCTGAATGGGGAATTGGTGCAACCATCTCACAACCACATGCAGTGCAATGCACTACATAGTCATTTTTTTGTGCTGACAGGAGTTCCACTTTAAGCTCATCAGAATCACATATGTACCAAAACTTTATAAACGGACTGAAAGTAGAACTAAAGGCAATTTATTTTTTCCATTTAGATAAAGAATTGTTATAACCCAAGTCAGTTTTTCTTTTCTTGTTTTACTTGCCTTCACTTCCTGCCCCATAGTAAAAACAGGAAGTGAGAGCAAATCCCGGCAAATTAAGGGAATCCCTTGGGGGCCCTCCAAGTCCCTATTGGAAGATTTTATCTCTATTTTCTGGGGACAACCCCACATTTGCGATTTTCTTTTAGTTTTCATTATAGCGATAAACAAGACAAATGGAGTGGGTGAATGTCCGTAACGGGGCACAGACTGCAATAAAAACCTTAAAAAATGAAAAAGTGAGCACTATCCAGACAGCAGCTGAGCACTCAAGGTAACCAACATAAGCCTTATAAACCAAATAAGTAAACAGTGCAGCACTAAAACTATGATAAACAGTATGAAATTAAATAAGAAAAACAGAGTTCAGTGTAAACTGTCTGTGTGATTATAAAGTGCCAGGTGACTGGTAAAATTCAATGGTGCTGCTCCGTGAGAAATGGCAGAATTACGCACTCACCAGATGCACAATAGTTATACGCATTAAATATCACATCCAGAGGTTTCCTCATCAGATAAGTGTCTGGTCAAGGTTAAGGTAATCCTCCCTCAGGGTGGTAGTCATCAAATGCCCAGAATCAAAATTACTCGGATCCAGGTAACCAGAGGTCCCTTTAAGGGATAGGTAGAAGAGGCTGCCTGCTTACAGGATGTCTTCCTTCTCTGGGTAAGGCAACTGGATCATAATTATGGGCTCTGCAAATAAATGCTCAGGTTAGAAGACTCCTGTCTTAACTCACAAATTCCACATTCAAGTGCACTACACTTAAAGGTAACCTTAAACGGACCTCTGGTTACCTGGATCCGAGTAATTTCGATTCTGGGCATTTGATGACTACCACCCTGAGGGAGGATTACCTTAACCTTGACCAGACCCTTATCTGATGAGGAAACCTCTGGATGTGATATTTAATGCGTATAACTATTTTGCATCTGGTGAGTGCGTAATTCTGCCATTTCTCATGGAGCACCGCTGTTGAATTTTACTAGTCACCTGGCACTTTATAATCACACAGACTGTTTACATTGAACTCTGTTTTTCTTATTTAATTTTATATTGTTTATCATAGTTTTAGCGCTGCACTGTTTACTTATGCAATAAAAAACCTGACAGGGATTCGAATCCCTTTCTATTCCATCCAAAACAAAAAAAAAAGTTTTGCCTTTCGTTCTACTTGTTGCTTTTTTTTTATAATGTGCTGTGTAGAGGTTGCAGTCTTTCTTCCACCTGACTCCAGTGTAGCTATGAAAATGTTGTGGATATAAATATTCCAGAGCGTGGCTTTAGCGATTTGGCTGTTCATTAAAGCCGTGTTGTTTTATTTTCTTGTGCGATACACTTAACAGATGCCATATAACAAGCTAAGTTCTAATAACATCATTTGGATGTATTAGAGAAGCGGTGCGGAGGGTTGGATGTGAGGCTTTTACAAAAATGGAATATACAAAAAAATACAAAAATAAAAACGTGGCTGGAGTCTGAAAACCCAAACATTAACCTTTCACCTTCACATCCCTCTTCGGGTTGCTGGAAGACTGAACCCCCACAAGCAGCCCGGTCTCCCAAAGTATTAGGCCCCATTCACACTTCACAATTTGGAATCGCGGGTAGAATCGCTGCAATTCTGCCCACAATTCCAAACCGCATGTCACACGTCACGATTTGGAATTGTGGATAGAATCTCTGCAATTCTGCCCACAATTCCAAACCGCATGGCAATCGTTGCAAAAAAAGTGACATGCGACTGGGTGCCATTATCCTATATTGGCACCCCAAACACAATGCAGCAGAATCGCCCAACAACCGCGGCAAAATGCGAGTTTAAAAATCTAAACACTCAGCCTGTCAACTAAAAAGTGGCAGGAGCTTCCTGCATAGGGCAACCTGTTCACCTCAATGGGTTGAGTGCGACAAACAAAATTGCAAGAAAATCGCAGAATACAAACTACGTGCTAGAACGCATGTTCCCACTATGTGATATGTAAATGAAGCTTTAGGCCTCTTGCACACACAGACCTGGTTTATATACGTGAATTGGATGCATTTTGAACCGCATCTGATTTAAATGACATGAACCTGCAGTAGGGTTGCCACCACATCCCTTTAAAACTGAACACATATTAATTACACAGCTTCTGGGGCTAATTTAAAGCAAATAAGACACTGAGTGAGTACCTACCGGGCACTTATACCCCCTTCGTGCCCAGGCCAATTTTCAGCTTTCAGAGCTGTCGCACTTTGACAATTGAGCGATCATGCAACACTGTACCCATATTACATTTTTATAATTTTTTTCACACAAATAGAGATTTCTTTTGGAGGTATTTAATTGCCACTGGGTGTTTTTTTCTTGCGCTTTAAACAAAAAAAGAGCAAAACATTTGAAATAAAAAGTTTTTCTTTGTTTCTACTATAAAATTTTGCAAACAATTCATTTTTCTCCTTCACTGATGTGCGTTGATGAGGCTGCACTGATGGACACTGATGAGGTGGCACTGATAGGAGGCACTGATGATGCTGTACTGATAGGCGGCACTGATGGGTGGCACTGCAGGGCACAGGTGGGCGGCACTGATGGGTACAGATGGGCGGTGCCCTGATGATCAGTGCCGATCACTTTTCTGACAATTGCTGGTTACCGGCAGTTCTTTCCTCATGCTGTGACAGCGTGAGGAAAGTGCAGCTGATAACCGGCAACTGTATTTACCTGGTGATCTGCTGTGTCATTGGACACAGCTGATCACGTGGTAAAAGGCAGCCGTGATTGGCCGTTTACCGTATCCCATGATCAGCTGTAGGACACAGCGATCACCGGCGGAACTGGTGCATGCTGCTGGGGGCAAGCAGAGGGCGTGTTCTGGAATGAAGTCCATGGACATCATCCCAGAACCAGGCAACCGCACCAAAGCCGTCCTTCGGCTATAATGTGGTAGGGAACTGGTTAATTACCACCTTAATCAGTCACAGAACCTGTGTAATTATTATGTGTTCAGGTTTAAAGGGATGAGGTGATAACCCTAACCTGCAGCCCTTTTCTATGGAACCGGTTCACATACGTGCCAGCCGGCTGCAGCACGATTTAACAAAAGAGTCCTGTACAATTTTCAGCCCGGTACAGGCCCTTGTGCACAGCACTGGATCGAAAGGGGGCTCAATTAACCATTTGCCCTCCAGAGGATTTAATCCCCCCTTCCTGATCAGGCCATTTTTTTGCGATACAGCACTGCATTATTTTAGCTGACAATTGCATGGTCATGCAATTTTGCACCCAAATTAAATTTATGTCCTTTTTTCCCCACAAATGGAGCTTTCTTTCAGTGGTACTTGATCACCTCTGCAGTTTTTATTTTTTTCACTATAAACAAAAAAGCCTGACAATTTGGAAAAAAAAACAATATTTTTGACTTTTTGCTATAAAACATCCAGTAAGAAAAATAAAAAAATTTAATTTCATCATAAATTTGGGCCAAAATGTATTCTGCTACATGTCTTTGCTAAAAAGAAAATCCCAATACGTGTAAATTAATTGGTTTATGTAAAAGTTATAGCATCTACAAATGGCAGTATATACAGTGGATATAAAAATATACACACCCCTGTAATATACACATTTTCAGGTTTCTGTGATTTAAAAAAAATGAGACAAAGATAAATAATTTCAGAACTTTTCCACCTTTAAACCACTTGCTAACCGCACTATAGCCAAATGACGGCTACAGCACGGTTGTCCAGTTCTGGGAGGGCGTCATATGATGTCCTCTCAGAATGCGCTCTCCCGCACGCACCTGACGATCTCTGTGATTACTATTATTATACAGGATTTATATAGCGCCAACAGTTTATGCAGTGCTTCACAATATAAGGGGGACAGTACAATTACAATACAGAGAATGGAAAAAAAGAGGAAACATAGTGTCCTATCCTGGGTAACAAATGTTTAATGAGCCTCTGATCTCCCACTCACATGGTATCAGCAAAAGTAGCGCGTTTGTGTAAATATATCCAAATTCTCCTGCAAACAGCCCAGCCGGTGTGTGTATGTTCACTCGATATACTCGCCGTTCCTCTGTGGATGCGTGATGACGTCACCGCCCCTCCCCATGGGGAGGGGCGGTGACGTCATCACGCATCCACAGAGGAACGGCGAGTATATCGAGTGAACATACACACACCGGCTGGGCTGTTTGCAGGAGAATTTGGATATATTTACACAAAGCGCTACTTTTGCTGATACCATGTGAGTGGGAGATCAGAGGCTCATTAAACATTTGTTACCCAGGATAGGACACTATGTTTCCTCTTTTTTTCCATTCTCTGTATGTATCGGTTATGGAGGAATAAGCCAAGCAACTAGAGGATAAAGTCCCTATTGAAATAAGGCTGTATTGAGGAGAAAGGAGAGGAGGAAGGAGAGAAAGGTTCATGTCATGAACACTGACTTACCACGCAGATTAGATTGAACTACATTACCATCTCAACTTGTATGAATTGAACTATTATTCACTTATATAACTTTTCTCTCAATTTATTTTATTTTATTTTTTACATTTTATATTTTCACTTCATCTTTTTACTTTTATGAGTTTTCCATGCACGCAGTTTTTTATGCATATTAATTTTTTGAT